CAAAGCTTAAAAGACCATTAAATGTTCTTGGTTTCATAACATATGTTTTAAGCCTCTTGGTCTAGGTCTAATGCATTGGGCCTTTTGCAGAGCCAGACAGCAAGATCACCATAGTCTCCAGAAAGTGTGGAATCCAGAAATGAGTTGTCCCACTGTGTTCCTTTTTTTGTTTGTTTGTTTTTAGGGTTGTTCCAGGCATTTGAGGTCTTTTGCAATACCACGTTTCTTTTAGATAAGAACCCGGGAAAGCAATATGTAGTGCTCCATGTCTTTGGGGCTTTCTTAGTTCTTCTTCCTCTTCTTCCTCCTCTTCTTCCTCTTCTTCTTCTGCTTCTTCTTCTCCTCCTTCTCCTCCTTCTTCATGTCCTCCTCCTCCTCCTCTTCCTTATGCTCCTGCTCCTGCTTCTGCTTCTCATGTCCGACTTTTCTGTGGAGACATACACAAACACCTATTTGCCACGTATAAGAACCTACAACCGACCAAGGTAATGATTCCACTTGAGTGAACTGGTGGGTTTACTGGGGCCATTTACAGGAGTATGGGCAGCAGGTTACCACAGTAACATAGATGGCCCAAAAGCAGCTGCTTCACTAGAGAGCACACCTGAGAACAAATGGTAACTCACAAGCACCATGTCCCTGGAGGCCCCTTCTCCAAACATGCAGGCTGGTGCTTGTGAATATCATAGGTTTCAGGAACTTCCTGAGATCTATGAGGTGCTTGTTGTCTGAGCCCAGTAAGTTTTGTCTACTTGCATGGTTTTAAAGAGCCACCTCCAAGATAAGATGATTCCATTTTGAGCAAATTACTATATACAACGACTTCTAAGACCGGGTAGTTTTCTTTGATCTTTAGATTTATCGAATCTCTCTTTTGCCTGCCTAGATTTTCCTTGGCTGTCTCTATGGGATTTCTAGTGCCAGTTGCAAATTTCAAACCCAAAATTTTTATTCAGTTACTTCTTCAAATTTCATTTCTTTGTTGAAATTCTGTGTTTGTTGAAAGATGGTTCTCTTTTATTTCATTCTGTTCTTTGAGCACATTCAAGCATTTGGTTTTGAGCTTCTGTCTAGTAAGGCTGCTTCGTGTGATTTTTTTTCAAAGGAAGGTTTTATTTATTTTCTTTCTCCTAGTAGTAATCCAGCTTTCTTGCTCATTTTAATGCTTTATAATCTTTTTTGTTGAAATTGGACATTTTTAATAAAATGATGTGATAACTCTGGAAATCAAATTTTGTCTTTCATTTTTGTTGTCCTTTGTTATGAGTTGTAGGTGTTTCTGTATTATTTATTCTGTTTTATCATTTTTGTGGTACCTGAGATTGAACTCGGGTCTTTCCAAATGCCAGACAAGCAGTCTACCACAGAGATATAACCCAATGCTTTCATCTACTTCTTATTTTGAGACAGTCTCTGTGAAATGCTCAGACTGTCCTTGAAGTCCCCTCCTTGGTCCCAGGCAAGTCTTGGATTTGAAACCTTCATGGCTCATGCCTCTGTTAGCTGGTACTACAGCTCTGTGCCACCCGGCCCAGCTTATAATGGTTTATTTAGCGACTTTTCTAAGGATTTCTATTTTGTAGAGTTTGTTTTGGCCCTGTTAGTCTCTGAAGCCTATACACTGTTAGTTATCAATTCCTCACTGATGGAGATTTCTTTAGGCGTCCACAGTCAAGGGGTGGGGGAATCAGGAAGCAAAGAAAACGTATTCCCCATCTGGGGGAACCTGGCTGTGTTGGAAGCACTCTTTTAAATACTTGGCCAGGCTGTTTACAACTCTGCCTTAACGTCACTGTTTGCTTAAGCGAAGACTAAAGATTACCTGATGTGAAAGCTCTTTGGGAGCATATGACCTGTCCAGAGCACATATGCGGGTTTCTAAATTCCTCTGCACATATGACAGATTTTCACAAACCCTAGTTTCCCCCAAGAACCTCACTCCCAACCTTTCTCCTCAGGCTCCAGAATGTCTGTCATTTGCCTCAACTGTTAATGTTGGCCTTAGGCGACTGCCAGAATCTATTTGGCTTTCATTATAGCTGCTCTTCTGTCTGCGTGGGTCCTGGAAGGTTGCACCAGCTGCTAGGCCAGTGTCTTGTACTTGTATGTAATTCCTGAGACCACACAGATGCCATCAGCTGTGGTCTGCAGGGTAGCACTAAGAGAAACATGTGCCACAGGCCAAGGCAAGGCTGACCTACAGTGTACTCACCCGGGGGGGTGGGATCACATTGCTATCAACTCTGAGTATTTTCCAGAGTTCAGCATGATTAATTTGAGTCGTTTTGCCAGGTTTTCGGGGTTTCTTGGAAGGGCTGGACAGAGGCCCCTATCCCACTGTTTTCACTGGACTCCTCTGTTGGAATTTAAATTCTGATTTCAGGTGACTAACTTTTGGAAAATTCTTGTTAAATTCAATAAATCTTTTAAAAAATATCCCTCTACCATGAGCAAAGGGTCAAGACTGTGCTGGAAAAACCTACAGAACCAACTGACCTGACTTAATGAGAGCACACAGACCCCAGTCATAAAGATGGGTTACCAGCATTGGACTGAACCAAACCCTCTGAATGTGGGTACCAATTAGAAGGCTTGGGGAGTCTATGGGACCTCTAACAGTGAAACCAGTATTTATTCCTAATGCACAAATGGACTTCAGGAGCCCATTCCCTGTGGAGGGATACTATTTCAACCCAGATACACGGAGGAGGGACTAGACCCTCTGGGAAATGATTTGATAGACTTTGATGGTCCCCCATGGAAGGCCTCACTGTTCTTGGGGAGCAGGTGGGGGTGGGTTGGGGGTTGGTAGGGGGCATGGAAAGATGGGAGGGAGATGGAACAGGGGGGTTGATTTATAAAATGATTGTTTCTAAATTTAAAAAGAAGAAAAAAAGAGTATTTAATTTGTTCAATGCAGAGCTGAGATATAATCCCAATATTTATTTGCTTACTTCTGTACTTTTCTTAATTAAAAGTTTTTTGAAAATTTCAAAAAAAAATATCCCTCTACCTTATTAACTCCATGTTTTTAACCCAAGGAGTGTTTTTTTCATCTTCTTTGACCACAGAGAACAGCATCTGCTGTTCATGAAGTTCGTGACATTATCCTCATCCAAACGCCATTGAACTCGTGTGCTCCCATGTCAACATCATGCCTTGACTTTAAATTCTATGGTTTGCCTACACTGACTTTATAAAGCAAAACAAAATTGCAACTAAAATAACATATTTTCACAAAAAATTGAATTAGAGTTTTCAGTTATTACTAAAAACTGATTCTGCCTCCCCCCAAAAAAGTCACATTTGTCCCATTGTCCCATTTGTACATAGAAAAGAAAGTAACTCCAGCTGAATTAATCTACTAACCTTTGCTACATCAATGTCTCACTTGTGTGTAATACTAGAGGGTACACACACACACACACACACACACACACACACACACACACACACAAACACCAGTAGATACATACATGATATATCTGTTAAAATGAAGTACAGCTCTTCCATGACAAGGACACGTGTGCAAATAAAAGTCAGGCCATAATAGTTTTGCTTTTAACTCCAGATTAATTAAAATTACATTTGAAATCAGCCACCATTGGCCATATTTTAGTCTCATTTGTGTTCTGGTAGCTCATGGCTGATCAGTCAAAGCCATGAGAGAGACAAATGTAAGTCAATGCCTGTGTGACCAGGAAAAGGGGTCAATGGGAAAGCATCTACCTGTGCCTTCAGCTGACAGTGAGCTTCTGTCAAGGGACAGTCAGGAAGGGGATGAGGGCAAGGGCAGGCTATCGTGTAACAAGGAGACCATCTGCAACTCCTAACCCAAGCTGGAACTCCCAGGCATGGGGTGGACCATCCTTAGTGTCAATATAAAGAGGAGAAAGTCGATCCTTTTTTTATTTTCTTTCCTCCCATCCCCCCAACAATGCCCCATCTTCACCCCCCATCCACTCACCAGGGATCATCAAAGTCTGTCATATCATTTGGGGCAGGGCCGAGGCCCTCCTCCATGTATCTAGGCTAAGAGAGTATCCATTCTTAGGGAATGGATTCCAAAGTCCATTCCTATACTAGGAATAAATACTGATCCATTGCCAGAGGTCCCATAGACTGTCCAGGACTCCCAACTGACCCCCACATTCAGAGGGCCTGGTTCGCTCTGATGCTGGCTCACCAGACATCAGACTGGGTTCCATGAGCTCCCACTTGCTCAGGTCAGCTGTTTCTGTGGGTTTACCCAACATGATCTTGATTCCTTTGCTCATCACTCCTCCCTCTCTGCAACTGGTTTCCAGGAGTTCAGCTCAGTGCTTAGCTGTAGGTGTCTGTCTCTGCTTCCATCAGCTACTGGGTGAAAGCTCTAGGATGGCAGTTAATGTAGTCATCAGTCTCATTATCGGAGAAGGGCATTTAAGGTAGCCTCTGCACTATTGCTTAGATTCTTAGTTGGGGGTCATCCTCTCGGATCTCTGGACATTTCCCTGGTGCCAAAAAGTCAGTTCTGACAGAAGCCAGTTTCCCACCTAATACAGAAAGCCATGCATCAGAGTTGAAGCCTCGGAGGCCAAGTATCACCTGAGGAGTGGGTAAAGTCACGGCTGTGCCTCTGTCTCAAAGTGGGAGCATCAGACGTAAGACCACAAGCTACAACAGAAGAGAGGTAATGAGACAGCCACACTTAGCTACCCGTCCTGTGTCCCCAACCACATAGGAGACAGGGCAGACTTGGCTGCAGACTCAAAAGCAGTTATTCTCACTAAACTCCAACCTCAGGAAACAATCTGAAATAAAAGGAGAGTTGGTGTGCAAAAAAAAATTCTTACCATGATGCAACACTGGAAAATATGAATGTATGTTTGTACGTATGTATGTATGTATGTATGTATGTACTGTGATAACTGAAGTTAAGTAAATGGTTAACTAAGTCCATGAGAAGAAGGGGTGTAGTTGATGATTTGAACATCAGTTTCTGTCTTCTCCCTCTTCAGGAAGCTGCACTGTACCAGGAACTATATTCACCTGAATCTGTTCCTCTCCTTCATGCTGAGAGCCATCTCAGTGCTGGTCAAGGACAGTGTGCTGTACTCCAGCTCAGGGACACTGCGATGTCACGACCAGCTGGCCTCCTGGGTAAGGCTTCCTAAGGGCAAGATCCACGTGCAGGGGGCAGACCCTAGCGCCTGCCAAACTCTTTCCTCTCAAAGGGACGGTGGTGGCATAGGCCTTCTCATACCTGAGCAATGGAGAGAGGGGTGGTTTCAGGCCCGTGCCCGCAGCCAAGACCAGGAGGGTCCACAAGAACGCTGGGTGGTGTCTAGCCACTGTGGGGGCTGGGAAATTAAAAGACAGCAGGCCCTGGTCACCAATACTGGGATGAGTGAAGCAGCAGCAGGTGACAAGTCCTTTTGTAGGTGAGCAGACATTTGTCCCAATCGCCCAGATTCCAAGAAGTAAAAGCTATCACCCATTTTCCGGATCAACTCAGCTCACATGGTGTATAAACCCTGGACACTGCCAGTGGGAAACACACTCAGTCTACATCTTTGATACAGGAACGGACAATGCTGGCCATGGTTTCTGCAATGCGGAGGGACATCTCTCACATGCCTGGCCGTTCTGTCTTGGCTCTGCCCGAGGGGTTAGCAGTGTCAATTTGCTACCTACTCAAGTAGATTGGACAGGTGTCTGAGAGCATCCTGCGTGCACGGTCTCCCCAAGTTTTTCCTCTGCTAGCATGTAATGCTCCGTGTTTGGGAATGTTGGTGTGTCGTTCCTGATCTGTGGCCCCAGTAATTTAAAGAGCCAGGACCCTGAGCTGTCTCCCACCTCTGCATGTGAGTAGACACATCAGCCATCGGCTGTCACTCTTCGGGTCCTGAGCGGCTGTTAATTAGCTTGGTTTGGGCCCAGCAGCGAAGTGCCTTCAGCTTGCTCAGCGCATCAGCTGTGTCTAACCATCACCCTCTCCCTGAAGGGAAGTGCATTCATCCTCCAGGCTCAGGATACAGAGGTGGGCTGTAAAAGGAATCTGTTATAACAGCACATCAGAAACAGGCTCCGCCACCTGGAAAGGTCTGGCCCCCAGGCATACCTCGCTGTCTCTGAAGGTTTTTGTCCTGAGATGGGGGCCTTGCCACATGTGTACCAGCAGTGAAGGCCAGGATGTTGCAAACCCATTCACTGAAGTCACCAGAGGTGCTCTGTGAAGCTCTCATTCCTTAGCCCCCTCTGAATGGAGCTGAGGGAGAGTGGATGGGGAGCTGGGGAGACTTTTAGGGAGGTGGTTGGGAGGTGAGGGAGGCAACTGGAGGAGAGGAGGGAGGGCAAACTCTGGTCGTATGTAAAATATTTTTTTAATGTTAAACAAAATAAAATAGAAAGAAGCTGATCCCCGGAGATGACCCAATACCCACCTCTATCTGAAGCAGCCATGCTCAACACTACCTTGATACCGAGACCAAAAAAAATCCTGGGCCCTCCATATGGAGGGCCAGACGGAAGGTGGCAGGCACCCCTGAAGTAGACGTGGGTGCCACCACCCTGCTCTGCCTTCCCACACATGGCCAGCCCCTCCGGGGGGGTCTCCACCTCCCACAACAGTGCTGAGAGTCTTCCTTGCACTGCTTGTAAGTGCTTGCTGAACCAGGGTTTACCTGCATGGCAAGTGAGGAGACTGGGCTGGGGGAAATCCTGCAGTTTTCCCCAGGTGTTGAGGATCCAACCTGAGTACCAGCTAGTTACCCACGGTCAGGCCAGTGCCAAGGCGGGGGATGCGAGTTGAAAATGGGGACAGGTTCCTCCAATCTGTTTCCTGACCTAGCCATCTCTGGGGAGTAGAGGATCCAGCTGTGCCCCACTCCCGACGGCCCTGGGATTCCTACCCAGAGGAGGCAGACAGGAGGGACAAAGGAGAAAAGTGGGAGCCAAGGAAGGAAGGCGGAGCCCAGCGTGGAGGGGAGAACAGAGGAAACGGACGGGGCTGTCTGAAGAATGATAAAGTACTGAGCACATTAGCAAAACAGAGTCAGATTGCGGAATGAGCAGTAGGGAACAATTTCCCTTCCAATTCCTTTTTTTTTTTTCCATTTTATCCCTGGCTGTATTTCACTAAACCAACATTATTCTCCCAAGCAACCCACCAGGAATGCTCCCCACAATGTGACAAATTGCTTTTTCCAGGCAGAAGAATGAAATCCACGCATGAAGAGGCCTCTTCCTGGCTAGGGTAGGCTGGCAAAATAGCTCTTCCCCGAGGCTGGAAGGCTACACGGGTTCCACGACCTCTGGGCTGCTTGCAGGCACGAGGCAGAGCAGTTTAACACTGGGCATCAGAACAGGTTTCCCTTGGGGGTCTGCAGATCCTAAGAGGCCTAACTAAGGGTCAGCCTGAGCCCTGCCTTCCCAGATGAGGGGGGTGGATAGACCACAGCCCTAAACACCAGACCAAGGACTCCCAGACAGCCAACTGGACAGACAGGCTCTTCGGCAATGCGGGGACAGCAAGACCTGTGATCCCGGCTGGAAGCTTGGCTAGGGATCCTCACCCCACACAACTAATGTCAGGATGAGAAAAGGGTGGAGAAGAAAGCAGTGAGCAATATCACCCACACACGTGCAGAGCGTATACAAAAGCCTGGGTATGAGCAAACATATTTGCAGAAAATGTGTGCGGATACACACACACTCAAGATACTGTCCAAACACGCACGTACATGCTTCACAAAGTTTATCTGTGCGCACATAGGCGCATGTGTATATACACAAGCAGAAGCTCCCAGTCAAGTTCTCTGGTCTCTCAGGAGCCTGCTGCTGATTTGCCTGCTATCCTTGCACTAACATAGCAGGACAGCAGCAGACCCCCGTTAACTCCAGTGAGGGGATCCCATGGCCCTCAGGCCTCAGGCCTTCCCAGGTCACACCCGTTAGCAACGAGCAAAGGGAAGGACACGGGAAGCTGTGTTTCCGATACCATTTAGCAACGGGATCGCCGTAAGCATGCGTCCGTGCCTCCCCCGACGCAGACGCCCTCAAGTCAGCTGTGCCCTGTTCTCCGCCCTCTAGGGCGTGTCACGGCCGTCACAGGGTGCGGCATAATTCATCCGGCTGGTTCTCCAGCGCGGACACAGTCTCTGTTTTGCATGTTTCTGTTGTGTCTCCGGGCACGCTCTTGCACGCATCGATGTGTTAGTGTTTCCTTGAGGTGCAGTGGAGCAGGGCAGTCAACTCACAGTATCTCAGCAGCCTGGGCAGTCACGGCAGAGCAGGCGCTTGACTCTCACCGCTCTGGGAGACAAAGGTCCAGCAACAGAGCCCCGCCAATCTGGTGTCTCACAAGGGTCACGGATAAAGAACCCACTTCTCAGCCACATCCTGGGGGGCTAGTACCTTGCTGCCTTGGCTTCTCTGTTGCTGCGAAAAGACACCATGACCACGGTGACTCTTATAAATGAAAACATGTAATTGAGGTGGCGGCTTTCAGTTGCAGAGGTTTAGTCCATTACCATCATGGCAGAGAGCGCGGCAGCTGGGAGTATGGTGGCATGCAGGCAGACACGGTGCTGGCTACATCTTGATCAGAACGCAATGGGGAGTGAACTGTGACAAAGCCCACCCCTCACCCTCCTCTCTGCCGCCTCCCCCCCACCCCTGGCAGTGACACACTTCCTCCAACAAGGTCGTACCTCCTCCAACAGAGCCACAGCTCCTAATAGTGAGTGCCACTCCCTATGGGGGTCATTTTCTTTCAAACCACCACACTTGCAAAAAAGACGGACGGGTTTTAATTGTAAGCAAATGAATCGATGGCTTTTTTTTTTAATGCACCAGGAGAACTACAGCATGATGTTCCCTCCTTGGTGCCCAGTGTCTCTTTCAAAGACACTGCCAAGGGCAGCCATCCTTCCGGGATTCTCTCAGCTCTGCCCCCAGGCTTTCTTTCTGTTTTTACCTTACTTAAATAACATTTTTCACTTACTTTACATACCGGCTAGTTTCCCCTCCATCCTCTCCTCCCAGCCCTCCCTCCCTTTCCCATCTACTCCGCTCCCCTTCCACTCCTCCTCTGTCTCCATCCAGACAGGGGCAGGCCTCCCATGGGACAGAACACAGCTTGGTACATCAAGTTGAGGCGGGACCGAGCTCCTCCTCTCAAGGCTGGGCAAGGTAATCCAGCATGGGGAACACATTTCCGAAAGCACCAGGGTACAGGTCCTGATCTCAGTAGCCTCGCAAAGAGGCCAGGCAACACAACTGTCACACACATGCAGAGGGCCTAGGTCAGAGCTGTGGAAGCTCCCTGACCGTTGGTCCAGAGTCCATGAGCTCCCTCGAGCTCAGGTCAGCTGTCGCTGTGGGTTCTCCCGTCATGAGCCCCCTGGCTTGTACAATCCCCCCCTCCTCTACTACAGCAAGACTCCCAGAGCTCAGTCCAGTGTTTGCTGTGGATCTCTGCAGCTGCTTCCATCAGTTACCGGATAGAGGATCTTCTGATGACCATCAGGGTACTCACCAATCAGATTACAGTAGATGGGCAGTTCTGACGCCTTCTCAACTATTGCTAGGAGTCTTGGCTGGGTCTATTTATTGCGAATTCCTAGAGGCTTCCCTAGCTCCAGGTTGCTCCCTAACCCCAGTGTTCATGCATGGAGACATCTCTTTTGTTATTCCCCCCCTCCAACCTGACTCCTGCACCCAACCTGCCCAACCGGATCCCTCGAGTTCCCATCTCCCCCACCCCACCCCAGTTTACCCAGCAGATCTCTTCTCTTTACCCTTCCCAGGGAAATCCATGCTTCCCTCTTTGTTATCTAGCATCTCTGGGGCTGTAGGTTGTAGGTTGGCGCTATCTTTCCTTGACAAATTTGCCTATTATCGTTGTTTACTGAAATGAGCCTTTTATGTGTTTCTGTTGCAAATGCATTTCCAGGTTCACCATTTGTCAGTTGCGTTTTAGTGGTATTTTGCCTCCTAGAAGTTTTCAGTGCTTTTGTAAGCTCAAAATTGTCTACTAGCCTTTTAGCATTACATTTTACGTGTGGATTTGGTTTCCTATCTTGATTTAGAGCTACTTGTTTTCAGTTTTATTCATTTATGCCTTTAATACACTTGTAATTTGCTCATTTTGTGTTTTAAAGGTAGGGTAGGCTTTATCAAATGTCAAAAAAGCAAGATACATTTAAACAGGTCGTCACCTACCAGACTCATCTCACAAAGATTTTAAATTTGTTTCACCCACTGCCTAGTGAATGATAACAAGACACAAAACTGTGGGTCTTTGGTTTTCCATTTTCATAGCTGGGTAGTTGTGACATTTGTGCTCAGGATCCCAAATTAGGACCAGAAGCCGCTGGGCTCTTCACAGGTGGTAAAGACGGACAGTAAGAAGTCTCTGGTGTCTGGTGTCCGCAGGGACAGGAGTTTTTCTGTGCCTTACTTTTCATTTGAAGAAAAGGGAGCGATGTGTAACAGGCTGGGGCATGGGTAGGGTTCACCATGTTGAGGTCAAGCCCCTCACAGCCATGGAGGCTGTAATGAGCATGTTTCAACCCATGCACTCCCTTCATGTAAGCAGGGCTTTCATGAACCAGGCATCTCAACTTTGTGAGCAAATGGGAAATTGCTGCTTCTATAGGGAAAAGCATATCACTTTCAACTCCACTCTCTTCTGCCTATGAAGGTGTACTTTGACAGATATACACACGTAGAAACACTTGCATGTGGAGAATCTTGTAATTTGGGTAGTTATATGCAGGCTGGAAGTGTCTTATGTGTAGAGTGGGTATAGATTCAAATGCACGTGATATATGCTCACACATGTGATGTGTTGTGCTCACTCATATGGGTAAGCACAAATTTGTATCTGTATGTGGGGTGGGTGTGGCTACAGCACACACATATACGTGAAAAGGATTGCAAAAGAGTTGGCATTTAAGTTTCGAGAAATTAGTTAAGAGTTGGAGACAAAACGTAAAACAAACATATAGCAAATGGAATGTTTTTCCTAGGAGTTTTTAAATGGTCTTCCCTTGAGGTGAGGGGGTGAGTATCAACTTAAAGGTTGTCACTTTTCTTTTTAAGTCTGGGAACCTAGCTATGGTCCATTGTTTTCTCCTCCTAAGCTTCCATTATCCGTTAGGGAAATGACCACAGTCTGTCAGCCTTTTCCAGTCTTGGTCCTTTGTTCAGATGTGGGGGTTGAGGCCAGGGATCTGCACGTTCACTGGCCCAGAGGCTATCCTTTCCCCAGCATCCAGCCGCTGCCAGCCTCAAGTGTCCCAGCCCTCCCCTCCCTGGACATACCTCAGGTGTGCACAGCACTGCTCACACTCGTTCTATGCCAACTTGGCACAAGCTGGAGTCCTTCGGCAAGTGGGGTCCCTCCGCCGGGTTGGCCTGCTAGACATTCCCTTGGCTGATGATGACTGGTGTAAACCGGTCCCGCACAGCGGCTGAGCAAACCGGGAGGAGCAAGCCGGGAAGCGGGCACTCCTCCTGGCTTCTGCTTCCAGTTCCTGCCTCCGGGTCCCTGCCTCGAGTTCCTGCCCTGGCTTCTCTCAGGGATGAAGTACGGGCTTGAGAATCGTAAGATAAAATAAACCCTTTCCTCCCTGGGGGTTGTATCTGGCTGTGGTCTTTCATCACAGCAATAGAAGCCCTGAGGCGAGCGTCCCACCCATCACCTCAGCCGGCAAGCGTTCCCCCACACTTGCTGCATGCCCAGGAGAGGGTGAGCCTCTTGAATGGGCAGTGCAGGAAGTGCTGAGGTAAAGGGGACAGGAGGAGGAGGAGGTTATGCCTGAGCCTGGTGTCCAGGAAGGTTGCCAGCAGCTGGTTCCCAGGAACCCTGCTTGCACTTCTCTGACAATCAGAAGCTCCCTGCGTATGGTCCCTGGCATTGTATATGCCGCTGCCACCACCACCTCCTCCTCCTCCTCCTCCTCCTCCTCCTCCTCCTCCTCCTCCTCCTCCTCCGTGTAACACATTTTTTGGCCTCTGCCAGGACAAGAAATTAACAGCGTCCCTCCAAGTCAGCACTCCGGGTTTGCTTTACAAGTCATCCAAACAGAGATCGGCGGCTCCGCCTACCGTAACTATTTTTACCGACTGGCACATTCTCTCTCGCTGTCCTCTGGTTCCAGGTCGGCTGCAAGCTCAGCCTGGTGTTTTTCCAATACTGCATCATGGCGAACTTCTACTGGCTCCTGGTGGAGGGCCTCTACTTGCACACCCTCCTGGTGGCCGTCCTTCCTCCCAGCAGGTGCTTCCTGGCCTACCTTCTGATTGGATGGGGTAAGGGCTTCATACACCACCACCACCACCACCCCCTCTCCATCTCGATCCCCATCTCATTTGGCCAAAGTGTGCGGACGCCGGCTAGGAACCAGGGGGCTACGCTAAGCGGTCACCTTGGGCATCAGGGAGCCTGTCAGCAGACTAGTGTCAGGCCCCCCCTCTTCAGATCCTCAGCGTTCAGACGTGTTCGTCTTGGCCGCCTAAATAAAGTGTAAAGCTTCGCTTGTTGGTGACCACGTGACATGAGGGCCTCCACCTGGCCCTTTGGTTGCAAAGCCTCCTTTGGAGAGTTCAGGCTCTCGAGCGCCAGCTGTGTGGGAATACACTGCTCCTGGTTAATGAGATTGAGCCGATCTGATGGGGGTCTCTCCCCGCAGGCATCCCCAGTGTGTGTATAGGCGCATGGACAGTGACCCGCCTCTCTTTAGAAGACACAGGGTGAGTGCTGTGTATGTATCCACGTCCACACCCAAAAGAAGCCCCTCCCACCCCCACCCCACCCCCACTCCCCCGCCAGTGCTGGTTTAATATCTAGGAACTAAAGAAGCTTGTACGATTAAAGACAGGGAAACACTTGCTGCCAGTCTAGACATTTCCGTGATTAAGAGGACCCACGGATAGTCATGGCCAAGACTCACCACACATTTCAGTACTGGGAAGATGGTCCACGTGGGTGGTGGGGCTCAAGCCAGGCCTGCAGTTTATCTAAAACTGGGACAAGCCAGGCAGAATGAGTGATGGTTTGCATGACTCCTAGGTGTCACCGAAAGAGACAAGCAGTTATAAGCAGGTTTGCTGGGGAGGGGGGGACGGGGACAAATGACAACAATAAAAAACCTGTATTGAGATCAGGCTACCTGGCTGTCTGGGAGTCCTCTGTGAGCAGCAGCTCCTTTGAGAGCTTCTGAGCCCAGGGGTAGTGACCCGGGCATTCCTAGCCTAGATGTATCCCCCAAAAGACCCCCCGGGGTATCAACTGCCCACTGAAGAACATACCGCTCTATGAGTGGACGGTCTAACCCAATCCACTTGTTTAGCCTGTGACTTTACCCCACCCCAGTGGTTTTTCCTCAGCTGGGTTAACTGACCCTGGGTCAAGTGGAACGGACAGCTGAGGGAGTGTCGGTAGAAGGCTCTCCACGTTCTGTGGGTTCCTGAGGGGATGAACCTGAGTTTAAGATCTCAGAGCCAGTTCAATGGCTCGTATCACACTGCCAAACTGGGGCCAAAGGCCGCGGAACTCTCCCCTTGCTGGAACAGTTAGTATCCACCGTGGGCTGTAGACACCAGAGCAGGAAGCCTTACATAACCCAGCTTCCGCTGCAGATAAACCTTGATGGAAATCAGGCCCCCCTCAACCACTCTCGGGGCATGTTTCCAGTTCCTCCTTTAAGACACAGATACAAACGACCAGGGGAGAATACGTTTTCCAGAATGGAGAAATGCCTTCATGACATCAGGTGAAGCAAGAGCCCATGCCTTGGATTAAAAGTCACAGCTCCAAGACTTAACGACCCCGGAGCTACACGCCGACCCACCGTCCCATTTAGCAGACTGGCATGTTGACTCGCTGGGGAGGGCTCCTCCGCTCTTTGCACAGAACAGTTAGGTCTAGTAGGAGGTGACTGGACAATCTGTCTCTGATTGGCAGGTGGAATGAGAGGCCCGGGGGAGGAGGGGCGTGCAAGGTTGGTTCTGCAAGCTCCACGTGAGAGGTCGGTCCTCAGCCAAACAGCTCTGCACAGAGCCTGGTTGGTAGCTTGATCCAGCGTGACACAAGTGTCTTTCTCTCTCTAACAGTTGTTGGGACACAAATGACCAGAGCATCCCCTGGTGGGTCATTCGGATGCCCATTCTAATTTCTATTGTAGTAAGTAGCCGCCCATGGGGAACCTATGCTCCGCTGTTCTCAAATGCACCTGCCCCGTGCAGAGCGCAGCTGCCATACCTCGCCGTGTGCCAATGGCTACCACGCCTTCCTGAAGAAGGGCCCCCCATCACCTCCAAGGCAGTTGCAGGGGGGAAGGGTGGAGTCTGCCTGGGGAAGACCAGAGCCTAGACCTGAAGGAGATTACGACAGTAGGTTGCGCAACTCCAGCTGCTCAGATAAACCACAGATTTATGCAGCAGTGCCCTTAGTGCCCTGTATGAGGTCTTCCTTGGTGCAGTGGGCAGACCTAGTGCCCGGGGTAGATGGTGCCCAAACCCTGTACTGAAGGCACCCCGCCCACCGAGATGAGGTAGCCCTTTGTTGTCTCTGTGCAGGTCAACTTTGCCCTCTTCATCAGCATTATAAGGATCTTGCTTCAGAAGCTAACCTCCCCGGATGTCGGCGGCAACGACCAGTCACAGTACAAGTGAGTATCTGCCAGTCCAGAATGAAAAGCACGCATCGGCGTAGGCGGAGAGTGGAACCCAGTGCTAGGCTGCAGCAGGTCCTCAGGGCGCCTGGGTGGTGTGAGGCACAGCTTGCACTGGCACGAGAATCTGCCGGCCCAGCACTCGGAGAGGACGAGAAGCCACATGGATTTTATGGTTGCTAAAAAGTTTTTTTTTTTAATATTTAAAAACTGGGAACCTTCTCTGACCTGTGACAGCATGCTAGAGCCTTGCCGTGAGGGTGTCCCTTAAACCTGTGTCCCTGCTCTGATATCACAGCTCATCATCTCCCGTTGACCACACGTTAATCTCCTTGTTTCCTGTCTTCCTACCAGACCCTGGGTCTGAGCAGCACAACCACGGCAGGCACCTTGTGCCCGGATGGACCTGCCTTAGTAATTATCTAACAGGCTGTGTGTCGTGTGAAGGGGGGAGGTCGGGGAATGTTCCCCAGCTAATTTGTGGTTATCCAAAGAATCCATAAGTCCCTTGTAATTCACAAAGAAAACATAGGACCCCCCTCCACCCCCCAGCTCAGGTGTGATGTGAACGTAGTAAGTTCAGTGCCCATGTAATTTGGTGCAGCTCAGGAGCCTTGGCACGTATGAGGGTGTGCTGGCTCAGAGCTGCTATCTCCCTGGCCAGGTCACCAGCCCCGAGGCGATTGGAATTGACTACCTGCATCGAGGTTCCTTCCCACCCCACCCCCACCCCCCCAAAAGAAAGTCCAGCACCCACCGTGGATGCTGAGCCAGCAGCATGGCTGAGCAGCAAGGGACAGTCCCTATAGTCTGTCCCCTCCCCTGCAAAAAAACGGAATGGACATTTGCCTGTTCGGTTTGAGAGACAATTAAATTAATCCTTGAAAGACATTCGGTGCCTAGCAGGGGAGACGCAAGAAGGGGGTTTGGTGGGCATTTAAGTCTTCGCTGTGCCCCACTGTGCACAGAGTACAAGGACTAAGCTCCTATTTGTGGAAGAAAACGGGTCTACCCATAACCAGGTGTAGGCTGCCCACGTGGTGCCTTGATAAGAGACGCTGGTCCTCATGCGTCTCCCCCCTGCAGGCCTGAAAAGCAGGGTGGGCATTCTTAGTCGCCCTTCAATTGAATTTGGTCTTTCGGCAAATCTTGTTTAGTGTCTGTGCTGACCTTTTCTCTGGGTTTCTGGGGAGTGTTTGTTAAGAAGGTCTTGAGATGGATGCTTTTATTCTGGAAACAGAATTACAGGGGGTAATGAAGTCTGTGCTTTCCAGGGTGATGATAAGGGCAGAGGGCTGTGCCTCACCCCTTGGGTTGTAGCAAAGGACTGGAGACCTTCCCCTCCTACGGCGCTTCCCTAGGGACAGATGGGTAGATGGGCCATGCAAATGTCAGGACCTGGCAGCTCACTCATAACCTCAGCTAAAGGAATGGGTCTCAGGAGCCGTGCTGATGCTGGAGGACTTGGGCACAGAGTCTTGAGGGGTGCGCATTTGCAAAGGCGGGGAGCAGCTGCGGTGACGTCCTGGTTAGTAGAGGTACCTACCGCTTGCACCCATGACCATGACAGAAACGGCCAGGCTTCTGTGCTGTGCAGGTTATAAAATAGCGGGGGGGGGGGGGGGGAATCCTACCCTTGGACACAATATGTGGAGAAGGACACATGGTTCTAGAACTTGCATAACCTGTTTCTTAGTTAGAGCTACTGTTGCTGAGATGAAACACCATGACCAAAAGCAACTTGGGTAGGAAAGAGTTTACTGGCTTGCACCTTCCACAGAGCCGTTCATCACTGAAAGAAGTCAGGACAGGAACTCAGACAGGGCAGAGTCCTGGAGGCGGGAGCTGATGCAGAGGCCATGGAAGGGTGCTCTCACGGCTTGTTCGGCCTGCTTCCTTATAGAACCCAGAACCAGGAGCCCCAGGGTGGCCCCACCCACAATGATCTGGGCCCTCCCCCCAGCTATCACTAATTAACAAAATGCTGTACAGCTGGATCTTATGGAGGCATCGTCTCAGTCAGGGCTACATCCTCTCAGATGACTCCAGCTTTGTGTGGAGTTGGCGTATGATTAGTCAGAATACCCTGTTCAGTGTGGACTTGAAGAGGATGCCTTTAAAATCAGCTAGAGGAAGTTTATTTCCGATGGGAGTTGTCCTTCTGTGTATGTGCTGCTCTTATTGGTTGATGAATAAAACCCCTCTGCCAATAGAGGCTGGGAGATGGGTGGAGCTAGGAGATGAGGAGAATTCTGGGAAAGTATAGGCAGACAGCAGACGCCACGTGAGACCAGGAAGGTAGGACACGCTGGACCCTTCACCGGTAAGATAAGACCAGATGGAAATACTTAGATTAATAGAAACGGGTTAGTAATTAAGACAGGACTAGCCAATAAGAAACCCTGGTCATCGGCCAATAGTTTTATAATTAACATACTAAGTCTTTGTGTGTTTATTCGAGGCTCAAAGGTGGCGGAACCATCCGGGACAGAAAGCTCACATTACAGATTTCCTCCCCTGTGCTAGGAAGGGGGGGAAAGGACCAAGGGGGACAGGAAGCAGGAGGACTCTCCTGCCTCCCCTCGCTGAATCAAGAGGAGGTGGGCTGCATGCCCTCCAGGAGGCTACACCATGAGTCCTCACTCCTGAGCGCTTGGAGGCCCCTGGGGGTGTTAAGCTAGATACCTGGTCCCGCATATGGGGCTGGCAGAGCATGATGAGGAAGGACAGCCGGCCTCAAATGTTACAGGCCTAGAGCAGTGCTTCTCAAAGTCACTAGGGACTGGACAGAAAAGCAGTTTCAGGCTGTTCCCTGTTGCAGAATTCGTATGAGGCCTGAGCTATGACAAGACCTCCCCCATGGTTCCAACTCTGGGAAGCTTTGACTGCAATAACTCAGCTGCCAGGAAAAACCTGATCCATACTGACCAGTGCCTGTATCAGTAAGGGAGGACCCCTCTGTGCTGAGAATGGGATCCAGGACCCTGCTCATAGGAGCCTTTGCTACTGAATGATATAGCCCAGCCCTACCAGAATTTACCTACCAGCTGGTGATGAAAGACAGTTAAAGTCCCCTGGAAGCTGGCGTGCCGTAGACGTGCCCTGTGAGAACGTTCTCTTCATGAGTTAAATCACAAGGCCACACTTGCAAATTCCGCCCAAATGCGCAAAGAGGAGGAGGGGTCATTAGGTACAAGAAGAGGAAGTACCCGTGTGTTCCCTGACCGCTTCGGCCTCTGGGGGCTCCCACGGTCCAGAGTGGGAGAGGTTAGGGGGCAGGGCCACAAAGCTCCAAGTCCTTCTCCTCCTACCAGGAGGCTCGCCAAGTCCACACTGCTGCTGATCCCACTGTTCGGCATCCACTACACGGTGTTCGCCGCCTTCCCCATTGGTATCTCCTCCACCTACCAGATCCTGTTCGAGCTGTGCGTGGGTTCCTTCCAGGTGAGTGTGGGGGGCGCTGGGGGCCCTGCAAACGGTGGGGGCGGTCCCTAACAGACTCTGTCTCTCCGCAGGGCCTGGTAGTAGCAGTGCTATACTGCTTCCTGAACAGCGAGGTGAGTCCTTCGCCGGCTGGAACTGGGCGCTGGCTGGCTGACGCTGGGTGGGTCGGGAATGTCGGGAATGAGCCGCATCGCCCACCTCTGCCTGGCTGTGCCCCACACACAACCAAGGCCCAACTTCCTGTCCCCAAAGCCCCACTTAGGAAGGCTTCCACCCCTTTCCAGCAAGAATTTAGCCCACCAACGTCCCTCCTTCAAGGTCATCATCTTATTCTTCAAGTCACAACTGAGTCCAGGATGTCCCAGTGTTTGGGGGGAAGGAGTGCTGGTCCTCACTGGGAGATGCATCACTTTGTCCCCAAGACAGAGCCAGAGCCCCGTTTTTCTTCTTAGGTGACCACTCCCTGCCATTTACCCTTCGGTCCCCCAGAATCCACCCGCCCTAGGTATTGCTGACTCTTCCTGTGTGTGAACCTCGCCTGACGACCAACCAGCCCTTCTTCTAGTCACTAAGGAAGGCTTTTTTACAGAGCCGACATCCAGGCCCCCTTCCCACACTTCTCTTCACTCAGAGTCCTTAAAGGGGAAAGATGTCGATGAAGGTCCTTCGGGAGCCCCGTAGGGCTGTGCTGAGGCAAAACATAGCCCCATGCTGCCTCAGACTCCCCAATATCCCTAAGGCTATGCCCTTTTCTGTGCACACAGGAACACCCCCACACACACCTACTTCCAGCCCCATGCTGCGTCAGGATAGCCTCCTGGTGTCTGGCATTCGTACTCAGTGGAGCTGGGCTCATCTCCTACAGCTCTCTCTTCTGCCTGCCCCTCCTCACTCACCCAACGCCTTCCTGAAGGGGGGGGGTCCCAGAGCACCCATCCTGCCTCTGGCTGCTAGAGCAGCGTTCTAAAACCACTACCAGCTGTTTGCTGTCTAGTGGGTGAATCTGTGCTGCCTATCTCTTTAGAAGGTGCATGCGTTCCTGCACGCCCCCCCCCCAAGCTGACCCTTCCTTCATCAACACCCTCGTCCCCAGGTACAGAGTGAGCTGAAGAGAAGGTGGCGAGGCCTGTGCCTGACCCAGCCTGGGAGCCGGGACTACCAGCTGCATAGCTGGTCCATGTCCCGGAATGGCTCAGAAAGTGCCCTACAGATACACCGCGGCTCCCGCACCCAGTCCTTCCTGCAGACAGAGACCTCGGTCATTTAGCAGGGTCCTCGCCGTGCAAATGACTGCGCTGCCGGTTCTGACGCACGTGTTTGCGGGCTTCCTCCGCTACCCAGGCATCTGAAGCCGCCTCACTGGGTCAGCCAGCCTGGTCCTGACCCTCGTGTGTAACTTGATTGGAACACTGATTATTATGGTCAAACTCCAGCCTTTAAGCCATCCTCTTCGCAACACGGCTTGGGGACACATAGGAGGCGGGTCTGCTTTCCAAGACAGCAAGAAAGCCAAAGTGGCCCTGGACGTCAAAACTGGAGCCTGGGACCTCTGAAGAAGATAAGGAGGAAGTTTCTGGCTCCCTGCCTCCTGTCAGGAGGAGCCAGGTCCAGGATCAGCTGAGCATCACTGCCCTGTGGTACCCAGTGCACGCCTGTGGATGTCTGTGAGATTCCGCCCCAGTCTATGACAGACCAGGGAAATCGGCTGGCAGCAGCCATCTCGTCCCAGAAGCTTCCTGGTCCCCTCGGTCCTGAGTCCTGTCCTGTGGGATGAGCCTCTGCATCTGGACAGCCACAGCCTTGCCAGTCCCTGGACCATTTGGTAGTGACTGAAGACAAGTCAAGGGCGATGTTTCATGACTCAGCAGCCAAGCCAGGAGCTCATACTCTCCTGGTCACTTAGCATCTGCGCTTCCTATATGGGGTGAGCAGCTCTGGGTTCCAGGCTGGCCCGTCAAGATGAAGGCCCTGGCCGGGCAGTGGTGGCGCACGCCTTTAATCCCAGCACTCGGGAGGCAGAGGCAGGTGGATCTCTGTGAGTTCGAGGCCAGGCTGGACCGACAGCCTCCAAAACAATACAGAGAAACCCTGTCTCGAAAAAAAAAACCAAACAAAACAAAGATGAAGGCCCTGGTGACTTGTCCATACAGCCCAGGGGTGTTCCCTAGGCAACAGAAAACTGTACTCTTTTCTGGGGGGAAGGGGGGGAAGGGGATCATCACCTTAAAATTGTTTAAAGAATATTTTATCAAAACATAAGATGGCATCAAGTACTCCTAGCCAATGTTTGCCAGTAATAATCCTTACTTTTCCTGTCATTTGCAGCTGTGGACAGGCAGGGCCTGGGGAGGTCACATGATATGATAAGGAAGAAGCTGAAGAGTGAGAATGTCTGTCCCTGCAGTGCCCAGAAACCCTGGGACACTGCCCTAGCCCAGTGCAAGGGCTGTAGGTTCTGGACCTGGTGTTCTGGCACAGTCTATGTAACCCTCCGCCCCCCCCAACACACAACACCCACGCCAAGGACAAGAGCTACAGAGCGTTTTTCCTGTGGTTTCTGTGGCGTGTAGATGCCAGCCAACACGAATGCCAGTGATCCCAACCAGTTGTGCCAAAGCCAGAGGCCTCAGGGTCAGGAAACCACAAAAGTAAGCCACACACACTCCCGGTTAACTAGAAATAAAACCAGCGCTTGGTGGCTCCAGGACAGCAGAGAAGGGACTATCTAGAGAGTGGCTGAGGCCCAGTGGGCAGACTTCTGGGCCTGAACGTCTGTCCCGCAGGACCGCCCCTGGGGTTTTGATTCCATCAGCTCTTAGCAAGCCCCCATTTTGACTCACACTGTATTGGATGGGCAGCTGAGGTGATGTAGAAAACGCCACTCACCTGCCACCTCCCCAGGGCTGCAAGGCTAGAGAGAAGGTCTAGGGGTGCAGGTCAGGTACCCCCAAAAAGAACCGCTGGCAGCGGCATTAGGTGGGCGCTACAAGCCTTGGCGTGAGCCTCGCCTCTCTTCATCCAGAGTCATTACGGCTTAACACAGCAGTTCTAAGGAAGACAGAGTTGTTGTTGGTTTGGTTTTTTTTTTTCATATCTGAAAGTGTCCTATCAACAACCAGGTATGGTCACCCTGCCATGACCCCAAAGAGACACGTAGGACCTGTGAAAAACAAGCAGCCATCATCCAATAAGCAGTCACTGGTCACACATGGAGTATTCCGATGTGTGCGTGGACACTGTCACCTCAGCCCAGCATGTGCTAACACTAGACAGAGCTGGGCCTAGGTCTTCTCCCTGGTGAAGAGATGAGCCGGTCACAAACTGGCCACCGCCAGAACTGACCAGTCGCAGGGGTGTGGTAACCACAAGGCCAGCATGTGGTCTCCCGTATTGTATGTGAGATGTGTACGAGGTGTGCCGCAGAGTGGAACCAATCTGTATATATACTGCAATAAACCTGATTTCATCCTGTGTGAGGGTTCGCACTGAACGACGGCGGTGAGGGCCTGGAATACACACTGTGTGCACTGCCACACCCCCTTGAGCACCTTGTCTTCCCAGACTGTCCTGCCTACTACGATTCCTCATGGAAGAGGTGGGTCTGAGGTGGCCAGGATGTATTAAGTGGCAGGCGTGAGGATGTTCCCAGCATGCCTGGCTATCCCAGTGCTGATCTCCTCCCTCAGCCCTACAGAACCTGAGCCCTGTCAACGGAGCAGGCTAGTGTGTGTGTGTGATGTGCACACAGTTATATGTGTGCTTAGTGTACCTAAACCGCATGTTGATGTTGTCCACGCAACTATGTACGCCCATTTGTGGGTGGGTGCTCGTGAACGTATGTGGGGTTCACACACGTGTGCTTGTGGGCGTGCTCCGGTATGTGTCTGCGCATGGGTGTGTTTATGTATTCTGTTCCTTAGCAACCCGCGAGGCAGATGAAATGCTCCTGGCTGCACTGCGGCCGTGCAGTCACGCGCATTGTACGCTGCTATTAAATCCTCAGGAGCATGGGCATAGCCGTGATCCAGAGAGCTCCTGGGGGAGTTTGCTCAGAGGAAGTGCAGGAAGGGGGGAGAAGAGGGTTCTGCGGGGAGCCCTCTAGGATCATAGCTGTCCTGTCCAATTAGGGATGCTTGGAATGAGGCGCTCACAGCAGGGCAGCTCTGTGGATGGGCCCAAGGGGGTCAGCCCCGCTGGGACAGCTGGGAGCCACAGGGAGAAGCTTCCACCATCTGTGAGAAAACACGCTCTTCCCTTCTCACTGGATACCGGCCATTTGTAATCAGCTGCTTCAGATAATAGGAGCTTTGCAAGAGAGATGGGGAACTTCTGATTCTTCCTGGGCAGTGGTCCTGCGGAAAACGATATGCTCTGAGACTGGCCTCCAACCCCAGAGGTGGCCACCAGGAACTTACATGCTAGTCCCTGGTCTTTTTTGCGCCACACAGACAATTCTCCCTCCCTCCCTCCCTCCCTCCGGCTCTTTACTTAGGGAAACGAGGTCAAGCTGCCTACAGGTTGGCGTTGTTCAGGCAACCTAGAGTGGAGGTCTTCCCCTTGTCAACACAGGGAACTTTCAGTTTTACTTTTTCAGGCCCAAGTCTCATTACGTAGTCCAGGTTGGTTTTCAAGTCTCCATTCTTCTCCTGCCTCACCCTCCAGAGGGTCTGGGATCAGAGGTGTGCCCTCCACTGCCTCACTTAGAGCTACAATGTTCTCAACAACTGTGTTTTAAGCTTACCTCAAGTATTTGCCCACGGTGAGCTACAGGTGGAACATTAAATGGGAGGGCACTCATCCCTGGGCAAGCTTGGGCCTGGGGCCTGGGGCCTGGGGCCTGGGTTGGCAGAAAGCTGGCCCCTGCCACACTTAGAGGTGCTATGAGCTTGGGAAAGTCAGCCCTGTTGGTACTTTCATTTCTCCCTAGTGCTGCTTGGACATTGTCACCGGAACATCTGTGTCTCTAACTGAGAGGGACACTGGGCATTATCTCTGCAGATTTCCCCTCTAATTCTGGCCTGGGTGAGTGGGCAGCCTCCCTCTATTATTGGGAAACGGGGACAAGGACGACGGGAGGGGCAGCTCAGTGGTGGCCACAGCTCTCCACACAGTCACCACGTCACCATCGCCGCCAGCAGGCACCTCAGAGTGTGCTATGCGGGGACTTGGACCACACAAAGGATTTGGGGCATCTTTTATGTAGAAATGTGTTCTTTTTAGACGGGAAGAACGGGGACACACCCGTCCTTTGTGTTCCCTGAAGAATTAACCAGGGAAGTAGAGCAGTGGCCACGTCAGCCGGTGGTCACCTGGCTGCCGAAGACAATGTCTCTTCTGGACCCTGCAGGGAAGACACTTGCTCTTTGAGGCCGTTCAGGACGTTTTCAAAAGCTTTATTGAACCGCAAGAGCTGGTGATAACACACTGGAGGGCTAATTACAAAGCAGAGACGGGGACAGCTCTCCTTTTAAAAAGCCAGGGTTCTCAGTCCTCACGTGTGAAGTTTCATGTAAAAAAAAAATCTCAAAAGGGCACAGAAATAAAAAAGAATACCCCTTCAAAAGCCTAGCTATTGTGGCTCAAATAATGTGCTTGTACGTAAGATATGTAAACTGTGGGTTTTCTAATCATAAAATAAATTACTACCCTCCTCCTCTCTGCTTTAAAGACACAGGATGATAAAGCCGCCCGTGTCGAGCTTGTTACATGCTGACTTTTGTATTGCAAGAGTAAGTACTCCTGCATCTGCAGGAGCGGAAGGTTCCCCGAGGACCAGTGCGCGCGCACACGGGACTCTAAACCCCCGGGTACCTGACTCCTGGTGAGGCCCTGCTCATCCTAGAGGCTCCAGTTCATTATCCCTTGGCCCTCACTCCCCGCTTCTGCCTCCTCCCTCCCTCCGAGGGGCTCTGCTTGTCAGGGATGGATGAGCTGTGATCCTGAGAGTCTTAGGGGGAGGAAACAAGGGCAGCAGGAAAAAAAAGGGCAAGGCTGGAGGGCCAGTGAAGCTCAGGTGACACTGAGTGGCTAGAGGTGAGGGGCCGCGTGGGGCCGTGAGGAAGGTGCCGTAAGAGTGGCCTCAAAGGTTAAGAGTCATTGCCACACAAGCTCAGCAGCGCAAAGCAGAGCCCAAGATACTGGTAGTCGCGGGGGGGGTGCAGGGGTCGCCAAAGGCAAAAGGGAAAGCCTGCACAGTCGCAAACAGTAAGCAGGACCTCTACAGAGCAGCACCAAGCACGGGGTGGTGTGCATGTCGGGAGTTCAATCCCAAGCCAGTCCTGGCTTCTCAGATTCAGCCCACGAGACCCTTGCGGCTGCCCAGTACTCCCGGGGCAAAGCAGCCAAAGCAGCCGCACCTGAAAGCGGGAGACCCTGCTGGGAGCACACAGCCAGCGGGTCAGGGCTGCATTTCCAGGGCAGGACTGCAGCTAGGTGCCAGTGAAGATGACCGCGGATGACGCAGACCCCGCAAGACTCTGGGTGCTGTGAACCAAGCCATGCTCCCTGGGCCCCCTACAGGAGCTCATTCGGATAACTCCTGCACAGAGGCAAAAGTGATTTAACGTTCCAGAGCAGATAATGAGAAAGAAACCTTCCCCCAGGCGTCTTGCAAATGTGCCCTACACTTACATGGTTCCCGTGAGGACCTGCCTTGAACCTCTAGAGCTACCACGTGTCCTATAATGGAGTTGTTGATGGGCACTTTACCAAAACCTGGCAAGGGCAGGAAGAACAAAGAAACGGATGCACCCTCCAAATAAGTAAAGGAAAATTAAACCTGGTGGCCTATAAAAAAAAACTAAATAACATGTACACAGTGGCAGTGAGATTAAGTTCAAGCTACGCACCCTATGATGAAAAACCATCTGGCGGTTTTAGTATAATGAGTTAATACCCTAAAATGATATAATAATAACACCCACGCTACATATTAGCTCCCAAGTTCACTTGCTCTAAATTTTTAAAAACAAACTTCAAAGCGTACGTCACACTTAGCCCAGTAATTTCACTTCTGCAAATCTTTCCTCGTTTAATATTCCAGTTTAAGCATAGCCATGGCAATGTTACTTTCAGTAAGGACTTCATGAAAGTAACCTAATGTTCAGTCGCTAAAGGATGAATAAATAGCCGTTGAGAATGCGGAATAAAGACTCTGGCATTGGAGCCCACGCGAAGAAGGCAACTCCAAGCCCCACGTCCTGTGCGCCACCTCTGAGGACCACACGCCCTCAGCAGTGTGCACCACTGCTCCCTCGGAAATGAGGCCAGCACCACAGAAACAGCCGTCCGTACAGAGGCACCAGCCTGCTATTACCGTGTCACCTCAGAGCATCTATCAGCGTGGAAACTGCTCGCTCGGCCTGAAGCCCGAGACTTCCACCACTGCATTCCTCACAGTAATTAACTCTGCCAAGCAAACCATGAATAATCGGCACCAATTACATGATCTACTTACTCACCTAGCAATGATATTACGCAACGCGACGGAGGGCGGACACTCTTGATCAGATAAACTGCAGAGAGGGAGAGCGTTTGGCTTACCCTGCACAGAGGGTTATCATCTTCGTGCCCGGAGACCGCACCGCCAACCAGCACGGCATCCCTTTGCGATATAAACACCTCCCTGGCACTGGCAGCCCTTCCTGGGCTTGGCATCTTACTTTCAGAGAGACGACATAATGCTAAGTGTGTGCGTAAACAGAACTTACATATACGTGATCGGGGTTGTGGTCTGTCTTACCTCTGGCTTTCCTCAATGTAACATGAATTTCTTTAGCATCGAGGGAGCTACATCCTGAGGGAGCAGTGGTGAGGAATGGGCGTGCTCTTTGTTTACTTCTGAAGATAAATGTTTACACATTTCAGGTCTTTGTGAACCTGCACTTAGTCTAAGAGTCAATATTGCTTTGGCCATCTTGTGCATCAAGAACTTGGGCAAGGAGTCCTTGCCCCAGGATGCAGAATGAGGCTGTGTCTAGAGCAGGATCTTACAGAAGTCGCTGGGTGGCACAGTAAGCTCTGAAGGGACCAGCTTCATTCTTCTGCATATGGACACCCAGCTGTCCCTGCACCATCCCTCATGGGATGGTCTCGGCATCCTGTCTGAGGAGCATCTCATCACTACTAGCCATGTTGCAGGGTTTTAGTTCTGACACTGGTCCTCGGATCTGTCCGTATGTCAGAACTGTGCTGTTGGTTATTGGTTCTTGAGATAGGTTTGAAGCTCAGCTTCTTTCTTTTTCAAGATTGCTCTGTTTCGCTAGGGTCCCTTGGTATTCCATATGAATTTTAGAGTGAGTTTGAGTGAGGCATTGAGATCTCCAATTATTACGGTACAGCTGTGTGTGCCTTTAATTCTGTGAAGATTTTCCCTCTTACTTTTATGGTATGCCATTGGTCATAAATGTATGTAATTGTTTTGTATTTTTGCATTTATATAGCTTATATACTTTTAATGAGTATGTATATTT